TACGTGAATGCGACACTTGTTGAAACTGAACTTTAAATTATTGATGGTATTATTGCGTTTAAGCTGACGTTGGGTTTATATCAGCACTTCTGTTTAGTCTATGAAGTTCTCTATAGTTTAGTGCAAACGCTAGGGCAGTAAAATTGGAATGACCTTCCTATCTCGATCACTGGTATCCAATATAAACAGAGTTAACTGTCAAATTCCAAATGACATATTGAGTTTTGTTAAAGTGAGTGCTGAAATTAGTATTCGTTTTGGTTTGTACATTCACACGTTGAATCAGAATTCTACTTATGTTCATATCAACATCCAGAATGCAACATTCACAATGTACTTGAATAACAGAATGACTGACTGTTTTTCAATTTGTGGTTCATTCATTTCACAGTCTGTTGTTTTGAATGATCTCTTATATGATTGCCATAACGAGTGATATTACCAGTGAGGAAAAGAATATCAGTTACACAAAATACTCGATGACCACGATTTTCCTCCAGGTTCTTGTCTGCAATGGACGATTACTGCAGCGATCAACGTACAGTAGTTAAAATGATAAATACAATGATAAGTACAATATACGTAATAAATATATGTGAACATTTCAGATTATTACACTACAGCATAAGTGCGAAAATTGTTGAACATACAAATACTTACTGAATGTAAATAAGTAGTAGAAAACAATATATAAAAGAGTGGAAGGCGAGCGGGTGGAACGATGTAAGACACACTTAACAGGTGGTAAGTGCTTTGCCTGGGTTTATGTTATATCTCGACGAGAATAATGAATGGTAATTCTTCGATCTATTTGTGGACCAATACTATATGTATATTTTTACCGTATAATTGTTATCGCTGGAAAACTCCCACTATATTAAAACACAATTGTATGAACGAAGAATATTCTTTTCAATAATTTTTCATCACTTATTCTACAATTATCATATCCAAATAAATCTTTCATAAGATTGGCCAGATTTAGGGCTGAGAGCACATCATTTGGAAATTGTAATATGTGAATTGAGGATTGTTGTTTGTTATATAAAACGAATTCAGATCGTTCATGTTAACTTGAATCAGTTTATAAGGGAAGTGAAATTGTGCGACAACTGATCAGAATAAATATGGTCAACATGGGGTGAGAGAGAAAATAATGGAATAAAAATCAGAAATTACGTAATCTGTAGAATAATGTGAATTAGGTCAGATATAGTAGATTTAGGGGTAGATATTGAATAAATTCCTCAAAAGGTTATCAAGTGTAAAGATAATAATAATAATAATAATAATAATAATAATAATAATAATAACAGTAATAATAATAATAAGTTTGGGACATAAAATGAACATTAATCAGATTATGTCACCACATTATAAGATTGATTGTTAGCTAGTTGGCCAGGGTAAAAGGAGTGGCTGCACATACTTCTTTTGAATACAAAGCTCAGGCTTTTTGATCCGATTAGGAACTGCTTCAGACGTCTGTAAGATTCGGAGTCTGACGGAATTAGGTAGACTGCTGTTAACCCTATAGATCATTGCACTTTATATTAAACAGCCCCAACATTAACGATCTGAATTGATTTCATCTAACAAACAACAATTCTCAATTCGCATATTACAAATTCCGAATGATGTATTTGCCTTAAATCTGGCCAATTTTATGGATTATTAATTTGGATTTAGAAGCTGGATTGTAGAAGCTGATGAGGAATTCATTGAAAAGAATATTCTTCGTTCATACAACTGGTTTAATTGTTAATTAACTAAATTATTCACATTCATATCTCTCTTATTATAAGCTTTATTTTGACCCCTAAGCTATTATACCCAGAATATTGATTACCTCCCACATTCAAAGCCACATCTGGCTAATTCTTGTACAAATGTTCTTTCATATTTTATTGGTACGTTGTGGTCTGTTTGATTGATATATAAACTCAGTATGTTTGAAACATAATGATTCATATCGCAGACGCTGAGATTGGTGTTCTGGACTTAGCTAGCTTTGCTAGGCAGAAAGCAGGACCAATCAGGACTCTAGGCTCCTCGCACGTGTTGTATGCGTCCTTGGTCCGATCAATAAGTCGCTGTTGGTTACAATGCAGTCTAGGTAGATTTGGACGAATCGTATATACATCCTTAAAATCAAACTGTGGATTGATAGAATGATTACAGTCGATTAGATGTTCAAGTATGGAACTCCTAACTGCTTTCCTCTCACCCTTCTAGAACCACAGTGGAACATGTTCCCGGAGATTATTGGGTTTTTCTGACTGTTGTATTTTCACACTTCCTCAAAATTTCAGCTGCTTGCAGACCCGGTGAAGAATTGCGGCATCTAGTTTCGATATCCTGATGCATTGTAGACCAATAAGCATAGCTTCGAGCCAAAGATTTCGCCATGCTGATGGCGCGATGGCCAGTATGGAATTATTTTGAAACGTTGATGTAATGTTTCTGGAACAACGATTGTGTCACAGAACATAATGTATTAATTGACAATCATGAGTGACTTAAGATGGCGGAAATATTGTGGCAGTTATTCTTGAATACAACGGTTCGTCAATATGATGAGAAGATAACCCCTAACTGCTATTGACATCTTATCATCATCCTTATCTTCTTTGATGACTTTGGAGGTAACTGGTAGACCATAAACTGTGTCTTCCAATACTCGGTTTACTACTGTTTCCGTTTCAGTCGCTGCAATCAATGTCTCTTCTTCCCGTTTCACTAAGAAACCATTGAGTTTTTTCTTCAACTTTCGTCGTACTGACGTTATCGCAGATCGAGTTGATGGGACTGATGTGTGTGCGAGAATGATGATGATTGGTTGTCTACTTAGTCAGACATGTAGATAGTCTTAAAAGCGTCAGGTGAGTTATGTATTCCCTAATCCTTCTTCTTTTTATTATTGGTTGTTCATTGTTGTTGGATTGTGTCGGGTTTGGTGTGGAAATATATTTACGTTCTAGTCAGTCTAATCACGTGTTCTTGATCTGAGTTGTGTTGAGGTCCTGTAGAATAGACACTGTGAGGGAATCTAGTGTAGATATTCGTCTAAGTTAAATCAGCGTCCTGTACGTGTATACAACGGTAAACCAACCGTTTTAACAGGGACAGTTTGTTATTTTCAGATTATCTATCCAGTCATGTCCTAATAGGTCAAGTGATGGATGTACTGTCAAAAATATTACTCCTTTCTCTTTCACTGTGATCTCACAATGTATCTCACAAGCGATGCTTAACATTCCCCCGGCAGCACTGTGAGTCACCCAATCTTCTCCCACGTTCTTCTACTTATCAGTGTTATATCGGAAGCTGTGTCTAACTGCATGCAGGCATCATACCCATTAATCTTGAGAGAAACATATTTTCTACGGTTACAGAAGACGGTTTTGTTAAAAGCTATCGTTACTTTGGCTGTTTGCGGTTTCAATATTTTAGAATATATTTTCGGTTGTTGACGATGTTTTCGGACTTGATGTTTACTTTCTTTATTCTCTATTCCATCACGTGATATATAAATGGAACTCTCACTGAACTCACTTTTGTATATTGTTTTACACTACTACTTGTTAATATTAAGTAAACAGTTTCATTTTTATTAATATTGAAAAGTATGATGTTACACATTTATTTGTTGTGTGATATATGAGATTAACTCTATTTGTTATAGTAATTACAATCATTCAGATTGTGTCCCAGTTATTTTCAGCTTTGGTTCATTGACTGAATCTATGTTTAAGCGCAAGTTATCACATATTTGTATATTCTTATTTCGATTGTTTGATTGTTAGAAGTCAGCATAAACATTCTGCACTATCACATGTTGTGATCCATTTTGATGTTATCATTGTAGGTAGCCCATTTCGTTTTAGAGATATGGACTTGTTAATCGCAACATTGATTTCACGATTGTGGTTTGCAACTAATCTTAATGATGGACTAATTCTTCAGATTATTGTCGGTTTACGAGTCTTGATTTCATCCATCTTTCAGTTTATTATTATTATGAGCTTTATTCACTACTACACTTTTGGTACAATGTAGAATTCTTTGTATAAAGTTAAAGGCATCGAAGTAATTGCTTGCTCAACTAGACGTAAAGAAAGCAAAGTCAGATAAGAATAGAAGAGCCTTAACAACTTAGTAAAATTGTGGTTGTGTGTTAATTCTCATATCTTTAAAAGATTTGGTAACATTAGAACGTAAGCATTACATTACCAGACCATCACTGTCTGTAATGTTGAAAGTGAAAAGAAGATAAATTGCCTCGAAGACTGACTTTTTATTTTAAATTTAAAGGGAGTGCAAAATGCTTAATTGTTTATTTGGCTCCATATTAATTGTGTTACAATGACAAGTTTATAGGATTCGAACATTGTGATTTTTTTCATACTATTGTGTAGTGGTGAAATCAACCAAATTTATTTCGTGCACCACTCAACTCCAATAAAGTGATTCAGATGTTTCCAAGAAACTGTACTGTAAACAACATACCTGTGTTTATCTTCTCACAGATGTTTGACCAGTTCTTTAAACATCAACACACTACACACCAATCCATTGAACTGAGTGAGTTATGAACTTACACAATGGATATAGAATTACAATTGATAGTAATATCGAGATATCTGTTCATATGACACGAATTTCAATATACTTAACGTGATGAATACACCAGAAGTTAGTTGTGTTATTTTTCGATGGTTTATAAGACTTCAGTATATTCTGTTTCATAAGATTGATGATCGGTGCTAACTGACCTAATATGTCTACTCCATTTACTCACAAATATCACAGCACACACATAACCACCACTAGCAGGCTGAAACATATAAGTTTGCTTTTGATTCCGTATGAAATGGATTTTTTGCGTCCTGATGCTTTCGGATTACCCCAACAGATTGGGACAGAAAGCTGTTTTGCAAAAGCAGTGTACATTGACAACTTGAGGGCAAAATTTCAAAAGAATATCGTCAGACATGTTTATGTTACTTAATTCTACTGAAATTGTGATAACAGTCGATACAACATGGTGTAATATTTTATGTGGTCTAAACGAAGAAGTAACAAGACGTAAAATGACTGTCTAAAAGTGTACAGTTCAGATGGCAAATTGTATATGTGGTTAAACTATGTTATCATGTCTACACTTTATGTGTCGAGGAAACAAATGACTGAAGATACTATGAAATTCATTGACATACTTTCCATATTAGATAATATGGATCAAAAAATGTCATCCATTTCATTTTCAATGTCATACTGATTGTTAATATCAAGTTGCGAATAATTATGTGGTGAAATACTACACTTGAAATTCAATAAGCAACCGATTATATTTCACACTTAGTGTATAAACAGACGACTTAATGAAGCAGTGAATGTCTTAAATATTCTTGCTATTGTCAGAATGTGTGTATAGGTAAATATAACCCAACTGATTGTAGGATTCGTCAAGTGGAAGTGATAAATACATTTTCATAAAGTAGTCCACATTATGAGATCTCGAATCAGATAAAGTGGATTGGTTCCCTCAAATATAATAATATACTTTATTATGGCTTAGAGTTGATGTCTTTGGCTTTCTGAAAAGAAAAACCAATGGATATATCTAAATATATTCACATATTACTCGTGAGTTTGTTGAACAGATTTCCACAAATTTATGCTATGTTAAATTGCACAGCCAGTGAAATAATCATCAAGTTATCTGAACTGCTTAGCTGCTTCGTAGTTCCGGAAACATTATTGATCGACAACGGCTCACAGTTTACTTCAGAATCTTTCAAGCCCTTCTGTAGCATTATAATAATTTCCACTCATCACCCTCAATCAAATGAAGAGGAGTAGTGCTTTGTTGACATATTTAAAAGAGCATTAGTGAGAGAGTGGACGAAAGAACAAATCTGGTAATCATGAAATTCTTAACAGCTTACAGAACTACACCTAACCCTATTGTTCCAGATAGGAAGACCCAGCTGAAGTTGTATGTGGAAGAAGTACTAGGACTACATTCAACGCCATGTTGTTACCTAGAGCAATGGATATGTGCAGACAAATTCAAAATATACGAAGTTCTAATGTAGGTGATAAGGTAACCACTAAGTCATACAACCGTAAAAATCGATGAAAACCTGTAGCTTTTGAAAATAGAATATGAAACGTTTTGTAGAAAGTGCATGTGACGTTCATAACATGGATCAGACACATCAATCAAACATAGAGTAAAAAGGATATTGAACATGGCTTACAAGCAAGTGTGTCTTCTCTGGAGATAATCATAGATGATAGGTTATATGTAAATAAGTATAATCAGCAGTATATTGAGCTATTTCAGACATACGATTTGATGAATATGCAGAACTATATAAAACGGCTAATTGTTTAACTAGTTCATTAACAAGTAGTATTTTAACTTTACTGATAAGATTCTGTATATTTCTTGAAATCGTTTTACACGAAACAATCATTATTCAGTCATATAATCGGACAGAATTTATCACAGAATGATGCTATAATGTCTTACCAATCGAAAAAGTTCCAAAGTACAATCATTGTCTAACGTGTAACGGGTCACAGTGAACACGAATGTCAAACAATATGTGTTGTTTATCATAAAGTAGTTAGATTATGTTTCTGTTTAGTGTGAGTTGGTTGTAAGATATTCGATTGAATATATGACTTGGAAGTTATTTTGAATTTCATTCGTCTCATGTTCTTTTCCGTCAGTTGTGTGAGATGTTAGTGACATTTCTCTGAAGTTTCTTTAAAATTACTCATCATCAGTAGTGGATTCGTCACCAAATTTCCTTCAATTATCCAATTCAGACCAAACATCGGTTTTCAAGTTACACTAATATTCGCAATCATACATGACTGAAGAAATAGTTATCTCGTTTTTGAGTTGAACGTTTGTGTCTGCCACCAAAATAAATTCCGAATGTATTTCTTAATCATTTTGCTAGGAAATTGTCAGTGGGAGACGGGTGAGTATTTTGATGTTTCTAATTGGGTTTCCTTGTACAATGTCTATTATATTCATTTGGGAGTGTACTAGCGTCAATAATTCGACAAATATGAACCAGAAATGGACAAATGATTTTATTAGATTGTAGGATTTGTCCAGTTAGATCTACAGAGGAACGACCTACTAGTGACTCATAGATCTTAGTGGTGAATGTTAACATGATTTTGGTTCTTACCAAACCTAAGTTATACGTATAATGCGTTTTTGACTTCCTTATTTGGTTGAAGACATATGAAGGTGATTATCGCATATGAAATAACTTTAAACAGTTGACTTATAAACACATCATGGTCAATAAATTATAACAATGTCAGTTTTCTATTCGATTCCTCTGGTTTGTCGGTATAAAACTGGAACGTTAGCAACTAATTGTGTTATTTATTCAACGTGTTCAAGTGTTATCATACTGGTTTTTTTTAAACTTACACAAACACTTCAAGTGTTACATTGATTGATTCACAAGTACTGACCAATATCAAGGTTGGTTGATCTTCTATATCGATCAATAGTTTACCGATTAAGTTTCAATAAGGCGATCATTGTAAATGAAATCATAAGTCTGTAACAAGGAAAAGTTCCAATTAATGAAATCATTTTATGAGCACATAAAGAAGATGAAGAAAAGAAATATTCACTTCAATAATTCATCTTAAATACACAAAAATAAACCTTGAATAATTTTGAGTTGTTAAGAAAGTGTCTCTGTGTTCGTCTAAAAAGATTAAAAAATACACAAATTGAAATAACACATTCATAAAAGTGTAAGAAAGTTAAAACATTCTACAAAAACTGGAGAACGATTAATTCGAATTTGGCTTCAATAGACTTGGGCAAGACTGTGAATCTCTATCTACTAGGAAGTTTTACAACTTAAAATTAAGCAATAGTAAAAATATATTGTAGATGGCTACACTCCAACCCCTTTCTGCTTCATATTCAGATACTCACCTGAACGACCACTTCAAATAATCCGTTCTGGACAAAATTACATTTCAGAATCGGATTGTGGAAATACTATCTGATAGTCAAAATTCTGATTCGTAATTTTTAAAAAAAAATTCAATTATCAACAGTTTCTGATCTATTACTTTCTTGATAACAGTAAAACCATAAAGATGTCTTTATTGTTTTTCTCACGAAGTGTATATCATATATGGTTGGAATATTTGACCACAAATAAAGCGATCAATACTGTATTCATCAGATTACCTTCTGAACAAAAAGTTATCACATATTTATATAAGCAATATTGTTATAATAGTACACTGTAGTAAACAAGAACTCCAGTGGGGACAATCGAATGTATTTAGCACAAAATAACGGAGTTGCTTGGAAAAATAGTCAAACCATACTATAATACTTAATTTGCAAAATGTTCAACAAATGTCTCGGACTTCATTGTTCTTGCATTTCCATACTGATTGCTTTCTATTCTTTATCTTCCTTTCTTGCTCTTCCCCAACTTCTGCTGCCAGACATTACATTCCTTACTCGCATCATATACTACTTATATCAATATAAGTAGCACGCACCACAACACCACTTATATGCAATAAAAAAACACTTTTCTACACTAATGATGAATATTTATATAAAATAATTTTCAATTTGTCACACAGAAAAATATTTGAAAACAAAAGAAAAACTCGTTTTCAACCCATAATCACCTGAATTCGAAACTTTCTGCGTAAACTAAACCTTCTACAATACATTTTTAAACCATAACTCTATTTAAAAAACCCCGCCTGGAGTCCCTCCGAGGGCTACTGCCGGTCCCAATCCTGAATAAAAGAGGGGGTCGGGCATGGGGTTAGCGACCCTATCCCGTAGAAAACTAAATCGCTAAAAATACGCAAACCAGAAAACTTATTAAAAAAACAACTAATTACTTAAATTTAAATAATGTAATATCAAAAGTTGAGATAGTGAGTCAATTGAAGCTAGATCACCATGGAAAACTTAAACGCACTGAATGAACGTTTCACGCTACTAAGGGACTCCTCAACAGTGCGCAACCACAGTCTCACCTCGATAGATCCAAACCTACTACCTATCAGTCTCGCTTAACCATTAGATCACTGAGCCGGAATGCAACGGCGTTAATGTCTAACTTCATCCCTTCCTGAAAATAATAATAATTAAAATATTATTCATTGAATATTCTTTGCTTAACTGTTCATTTACTTTTTCTAATCTTGTGTGTTTCTTTTTATTTAACTGCACTATTTTATGAATGAATATTCCTTTCCTTTCTATTTATATGTCTACTTTTTCATAAAGATCGCTTGATAACTCTTTGCTATTGTTGATGACATTTTGTCTGTTCTATGACTAGTTATCTTCTACTTCTTCTTCTTACAAATAACATAGATATAGTGAAATTTCATTTAGGATCATTTAGTCTATCCGAGCCGTGACTAACCTCCTGTAGGACTGACATGTAATCACATGTAATCAGCTCAGTGGTAACGTCTCTGACTGTGAAGCTGGGTGACACGAGATCGAATCCGCCAGGGAGCACCAGTTCCCTCAAGATTACAGGTACACCTTGCTGACGAGTGCCAAGTAGCACGAAACCCGGGTCCAGGGTTTCCTGTTGACTACCTCCAACTACCATCTAAATATCAATACATAGTGCCCGCAGTATCGAGTCACCTAGACTGGTGGCCACATTGCAACATGATCGATAGCATTCGACCTGCACTAATAAGGACTAGACAAGCATGACATTGATCACCACCCAGTGATCAATCAATTGTGAGAGAACTATTCTAGAACCTGATTGGTTGGCAAGCACGCAAGTGAGAGAAGACAAGACAGTTGGAACACTCTGAATTCTCTGAATTCTGAATTCGGATTAGTGCAAAAATGTTCATGAATAAATATGTGAATATCCTGACCACAACGTTTGATAATTTGGAAAAATACAATTATGTCCGAATCTGGGAATTAGGGTAGAAAATAAGATTCAAAATATTATGTTTAAATCACAATCTTTTCGGAACAAAAAAGGGTATGGCAGTGAATGTTACATAGAACGAAGGCTCATGTTATGTAGAATAAAATAGGGACAAAAATAAATATAAGTGTTTTACAAGGTTTGAATGAAATGAAATAACGTCCCAAGAAAATAACTTTCGTAGTTGTCTGGGCTTCTTATTTCCTCGTTCACAACAATTTCGATTTTAAGCCAGCTTATATGTTGTATGTCGTGGTTTAAGAAGTGAAGCATTGGCATATGAAGTGTTCGCATATACACCTCAAAGAGACCGCGAATCCTCCAACGTTTGGGAGTTCATTTAAAGCATATATATCAGCACGTCAAGACACTCACTGGATGGGATACATTTTCATTGGATTATCATGTCGATGGTGTATTGGCTACAATATCTACTGATAGTTATCGTTTTACGTATCTATTTTCGTTTAGTATTCCTTGGAGTGCCAAATCTATGGAATTTACATTAAACAAATCATGGAAACAATGGTTATGTGCAACACGTTTAGGTTATGACCTTAAAGATGATTTATCATTAGCATTACATTTATTACAATTATTCCGTGCAGAAACAGCGTTTCATTCAACACCTACAATATTACATTAGTTTTGAATTTTGTTAAACGTGTCTGGGACGATCTTGTTAAGTGAGTACATCCCATTTAAGATTTAAGTAACGTTTTTAGAGCTTATCAAGCATTCTCATCAAATGTATTTACAAGATGTCTATTAGACGCTGAATTATGTCAACTTCTTGGTGAATTAAGAGCGAAATTTAATTCAATACTCAGTTACATCAATATTTTAATACAACTGCTATGCATGAGAATGTTAAACGTGAAAAATATGCACCAGAGAGGTACGTAATATTTGTTTGTTAGAAGGAACAGACTATTGAGTATTAGAGTGTAGAATGACTTCCCAGAGTAACTGTGGCTATAGCAAACTGTACCATTGTCATCTCTGAATGTCATTACGCTTTCACAACATGATGTAAATCTTGCGTTGAACATTGAAAAATCACTGGTTTTCTACAGCGACAATCGATGTATTTCTCTAAACAGAAATGAATTTAGAATTATAGAACATATTTGTTGAATTACAAATGAAGAGTTCATACTCTAAATGTTTGAGTAGTAGACTTTGAGATAGAATTGTTGGGGTGATCCAGAAAACTTCTCGCAAAAGACAAGAAAGTATCAGGAAAACACTAGGAAGCATTTTATCCAATCAGAGTTCCCTTGAAGGTTTGCCAGAAACATCAGGAAAGTGAAAGCTCATTAGTAGAGTTTCTGATTAGATGGTTACTATACTGCTACTATGTTTAATAGCATTCCAGAATTTTTGGGAAACCCAACGACATCTAAAATACTACAAAAACCCTATATTTTCTGTATTAGAACGAACCTTTGGAGTAAAGTGCTTCTCGCAAATTTTGTGCATTTCTTCTCGTGTTCAAGTCGCTGTGTAGTTCTAGCTTGAGGGTAACGAGTATATCTTAGGAACCGAATACAGCGTTCAATTAGCAAAATGTATCAAGAATATAGCCAATCCGTTTACAATCAGAGTTATTTAAATAAATATAATGTAGAGAATACTAAACTGAATTGTGAAACATTTCATATCTGTTGTAAATGACATTCCGTTATATAATCATGGGTAAAATTATACGGTCACAATTAGATTGCTAAATTCATAGCATGGTTTTCATATTCATTATCTCATTACTATTTCAAGTGAAAACATTTTCGGAAAACTCGGAAATACTGAACGGCCGTTTCATCCTATTGTGGGACTCCTCAGTAGTGTGTCCTTCAAAGTTCCATACACTTGGTTCTCTTTATCATTTTGAATACAGCAAGAAAAAAGATTCTAGCAGATTTCGTTTTATTTCGTTTGGTTAACTTCAATTGCTTACAACCTGTGATATTTAGAAACATAATTACCAAATGGGATGAAATAACCTAAATACTTATTATCGCTTACTGTGTGTTAAGTTTGTCTTACATCGTTCCCTTTCTACTCTTTGGTATATTGTTCTATACTACTTATTTACATACAGTAAGCAGTTGTATTCTCAACAATGTTTACACCTATGTTGTTACGCAAGTTGTAGTGAAATATTCTGGAATGTTCACATATATTTATTACGTATATTGTACTTATCATTGTATTTATCATTTTAATTACTGTACCTTAATCACTGCAGCGTTTATCCACAGTTTCATGCATTTGTTTAAACGCAACATTTTCCATATTTTCACAGATTGAAATCATGAGTCAGTTGAAGCTAGACCACCATTGAAAACCTGGAAGCACTGGACGGCCGTTTCGTCCTGGTATGGGACTCCTCAGCAGTGCGCATCCACGAACCCGCACCACCCGGGGCTCGAACCCAGGACCTACTGGCTTCGCGCGCGAGCACTTAACCATTAGACCACTGAGCCGGCATCCAACGGTGTTAATGTCTAACTTCGTGGATGCGCACTGCTGAGGAGTCCCATACCAGGACGAAACGGCCGTCCAGTGCTTCCAAGTTTTCAATGGTGGTCTAGCTTCAACTGACTCATGATTTCAATCTGTGAAAATTTCTAAAAATCTCCACAAAACACATTCTGATAATAATTTTCCATATTGTTTTACTCTTGCTTCGGGTTTCGATTGATCATAAACTGTTATCAAATTTAGACACATCTATCAGCTGTCTTATGTACTATCGTATGTTATAATTATTCTTTATGTTACTGTTACAGGAAGCCTTTTTATTTCCATACTTGAAGGACGTGTTTAAACGCCCCCAGACACCTCACAAGTTGAGGTTTGTAACTACGTTTTGTGTATTATTCAATAAAGAACCACTATTGTAGACAAATCGTTGTTTTGGCAATTTCGGTTTGCGCGTATCTCAATCGAGTGACTTGGACGCTTCGATAGATCTAACACTGTACTAAGCACATTACTATTATCATCAATATGAAGTAATAACACAATCTTGCACAATTGTGAAAATTGATGAGAGATGTTCGGTTGTTGATGTGCTGTAATAAATCAGTATATAAACAAATAATCGTAAGCCTTCTGATGCTTTAAAAATCATTATGTTTATTATACAGAGTATATTATAAATTTCACTACGCAAAAATCTATTCCTGGCAAGAATATTTATAAATTCACGAATACTTACATAATTACTTACGCCCATTACTCCTAATGGAGCATTGGCAACCGACCAAAACTCTCCAACCCACTCTGTCCTTGAGCTTCCTTTCTAGTTCTATCAAACTTTTGTTCATTCTTCTCATGTCTGTCTCCATTTCTCAGTGTAATGTGTTCTTTAGTCTTCCTCTTCTCCTTTGGCCCTGAGGATTCAAAGTGAGAGCTTGGCTTGTGACACAGTTGGGTGCTTTCCTCAATTTGTGTCCTATCCACTTCCAGTGCTTATTCTGATTTCTTCCTCCTCTGTGATCTGACTTGTTCTCTCCCACAGTAGGTTGTTGCTGATGGTGTCTGGCCAGCGGATCCATAGACAGCTGTTGATAAACACTTGTATCTTCTGGATAATGGCTTTCGTAGTTCTCCAAATTTTCGGCACCATACAGTAGAACTTTCTCATGATTAATATGTGATTATGTTCAGATATATTCATTGAACCTTATCTTCAGAAAGCCAAAGAAATGAACGTCAAGCCATAATAAAGTATATTATTATCTTTGACGGAGCCAACTTACTATATCTGATTCGAGACCTCATAATGTGGACTGCTATATTAAAATGTATTTATCACTACTACTAGAAGAACATTGCAATCAGTTAGGTTATATTTTCCAATACATACATTCTGACAATAGCAAGATTATTTAAGACATTCAGTGCTTAAATTAGTCATCTGTTTATACACTATGTGTGGAATTTATTCAGTTGTTTATTGAATTCCAAGTGTAGTTTTTTATCACTTGATCCTTCATAGCTTGATATTAGCAATCAGTATCACACTGAAAATTAAGAGAATTTATTTTGTTTAATCCATATTTAATGACATGGAGTGTATGTGAATGCATTAACCAAGATCTTCGGTGTTTTATTTACTCGAAACATAAAGTGTAGACATGATAACATAGTTTGACCACATATACAGTTTCCCATCTGATTTGAACACATTTTTTCATTTAAATCACATAAAAGATTACACATCGCTGTATCTATTGATACCACAATTTCAGTAAAATTGAGTAGCATAAACATGTATGACGATATTCTTGTGAAATTTTGTCTCCAAGCCCTCAATATATACTGATTTACGAAACAACTATCTGTCTCAACCTGTTAGATAAATCTAATACCATTAGGTTTTCATTAATCCATTTCATATAGTATGAAATAATAAATTATATATATCAGCCTACCAGCTGTGGTTTTGTGTGTTTTGTTATTGGTGAGCGAATGGAGTAGACATATTGGGTCAGTTATCACTGATCATCAATCTCATGAGACAGAATATACTGAAGCCTTACAAACCATCGAAAAATAGCGCAAATAACTTTTGGTGTATTCATCACATAAAGTATATTAAAACTCGTGCCATCTGACCAGATAACTCGATATTATTATCAATTGTTATTCCATATCCATTGTGGAAGTTCATAACTCACTCAGTTCAATGGATTGGTGTGTAGTGTGTTAACGTTTAAAGAACTGGTCGAATAAAGGTGAGAAGATAAACACAGGTATGCTGTTCACAGTATAGTTTCTTGAAAAAATCTGAACCACTTTATTGGAGATGAATGGTGTACGAAATAAATTTGGTTGATTTCACCACTACACAAAAGTATGAAAAACATCACAATGTTCGAATCACATAAACTTGTCATTTTAACAATGCGAGTATATTAGTGTGAAGCCAAATATGCAATTGATTTCAACCGTAGAGACAGAGATAATCTAGAAATATGATGTTTACATGTTTCATGTGATCGAATGCTTTACAGACATGAGAATTAACACACACCAACCATTTTACTAAGGCATTAAATGTATTTTATTATTATGTGATTTTGCACTCTATACGTCTATTTGACCAATTAATTATTTAGATGCCTCTAACTTTATGAAGAGAATTCTACCTTGTACCAAAAATATAATATTGAATAAAGCTAATAATCATAACAACGCTACTAACAATAATAATAGTTATATAATATACCCTTGTGGGCCAGGGTAATTTTACATTCGTTTTCAGGAGAACCAGACACCATCCAGACTTCCACATGACAACCCAAACAGTACAGCACAATCCTGTTTCGCAGGAGAGCCGAAAACTACTCAAGCTTAAAATTTGTAGCCGAAATAGTATGGCTTAATCCCGTTTCCAGGAGAACCAGACACCATATAGGTTTTAACACTACGATCGGAATAGTACAGCTCAATCCACACAAGTACCATGCACCCTATTCGCATTATTCATATACACATTCAAGTTACATGTACAATTATTCCGATCAATCATGCACAGCACGAACAAACTAAAGTTGATTTATTCTGCTTACAATACAGTCAACCTCATTAATGTTTGCAATGGTGACATGCCTTATAATGTCCCAATGACAATGG